GCTCGACGTGCAGGAGAAGGAACGGGGTGGTTTTTAGTCAGTAAGAGTCTGACACTCCCTCCCGTCTCACCCAGGCGGGAGCAGTCATTCGATGACATTCCCCCATTAAAAAAAAAGATTTATTCAGCTTTGTAACAGAAAACTCAAAAATACAAACTATGCTGTGTTATAAAGCTACTTGGTAAAAGGTTGCATTGAGCTATTACTTCAATTGTGTAGTAGCTAGTTCAACTATAAACTCGAGTCGAAAGTACGCTCAACGTTTATCATAGTTGACTGTTATCATGCAATGATACCGTCATTGTCATTGTGCTAACCTCTCGAGAAGGCTAGATTAGAATTTAATAGCTTTATACCAGTAAACGTTACACCATGTTGAAAATATAAGTGGTGACATTGTAGAACACATATTAAGGAAAAATGAAATTCATCCTTTAATATTCTCTATAGGTGGAGATATTTAATATAATCAGTGGATTTTTGCATAATACACATCATACTAGTCCTACTAATATATATTATAAATGTGAAAGTTTGTGAGAATGTATATGTGTGTGTGTGTTGTTTATTTGTTACTATTTCACGTCAAAAGGGCTGATGGGATCGAGATGAAATTTAGAACAGGGGTAGATTATGGTATAAAATAACACTTATGCCACTTTTTTCCACGAGAACGCGGGCGAAGCCGCACTGGCAGTAGTTAGTACTGTATAATTATGGATTTAAGACATACCTACTAGGCAAGATCTTATTACCTCACGAGCCTTATATTTGCAATCAGTGCTAAACATGCGATCCCGGATTAAATTCTCAGAAAATATACAGATGAAAAACTATTGTCATTAGTTTTGATGGCATTTGATTTAAATACTAAATACGGCCTCAACAATATTCCAGGCTTTCAATCCCAAGATGGACCATTTGACTTGCTTCCTGCCGGGTACATTAGCCCTTGGCCACGCCAATGGCCTCCCTGACTGGCACATGACCATGGCCGAGGAACTCCTTTACACCTGCTACTTGACATATGCTGCTCACCCAACATTCTTGGCTCCGGAGATAACTCACTTTTATATGGTAAGTGATTATGTTTATACGGTTCACCGATGAACTAAATATAAGCCTAAAATGGGGGCTCAAATCAAAGCGAAAGTGACTTATCGTAAACTTCTAACGTCTACGAACATTGAAGCCTGCGGACTTCAATTTTTAATCGAAAAATTTCCCCAAGCGTCGTATACATTGTTGAAGGGTAAACTTCTAAAGGTTCAAATTACGAAAAGAACTGAAAGACAAAAAGGTCTTGACGTAATTCAGACGGCGTCCAGCATTTAAGAGAGACATACAGGAGATTCAAACAACAGAAAATAATCCTTACTTAATATTATAAATTGGAAAGTGAGTTTGTTTGTTCCGCTTTCACGCCCTAACTACTAAACCGATTGCTTTGATTTTTTGCAGACGTAAAGTTAGAAGTCTGGATTAAATAATAGGGTACTTTTTATCCTGAAAAAATTTGATATTCCCGAGGGAAAACAAAAGTATTGGTATAGATGGCGCTGTGTGTATTGGTATAAGTCACATCACTTTTTATCCTTTTGTGACGCGAGCGGAGCCGCGGGTAAAAGCTAGTTTCTGTATAAGTAGGTTTCTTGCAACAAACAACACAATAACTCAACTACTACAAAACTGATGTTTACATATTTCTTCTCATTTAGTTTTTGTCTTCTACTATATTCTCTTTCCTAATCTTCTTTCCGTGCATACTTATTTGTGTGTTACATATACCTTGTACTTGTTATTTTTTGTTTCAATTCTTATTTGTGTTGCTGGGTTTGGAATTTTCAAAGCACCACAACATTTTACCACTGTCTGTTTTCATTATAGACTTGTATTATTATTTTTCATTCTTCCATTACATAATACTACATTATTACTTATTTACACATAAGCCAGGAAATCATTCTCGACTTCACTTAAAGGATTACATGCCTCACAGTCACACAACGCACAAGCGAATAGATTCACTTTCACGCCACAATGCTTGACCACGTTTTGTTTTGTCACATAATTTATGTTGCTTTTTTCTTCATCTCCATTTAGGAAAATGTGCCAACGTCCAAAAATGTTCCGCAGGCGAGTGTCGCCGAAGACATGTACACTAAAACAGCCGACTCTCATACTCTTCTGCGTCCTGAATTCGTTGAGAGTCTGTGGTACATGTACCAAATTACTGGAAACACAACATATCAGGATTGGGGCTGGCAGATATATCAGGTAAGAGAATTTTCACTTGATTTTGGTATATTCTCCTCATAGATATAATATATTTTTATACAGAGATTCAAGATTATTATTCGAACAAAATCTATTACTTAAGATAATATATTTTTTATGTCTTTACAGGGATTCGAGAAGTACGCACGAGTACCAAACGGTTACACATCGCTGGCGAATGTAAAGGTCGAAAAACCAGTGCAACGTGACATGATGGAATCCTTCTTTATGTCGGAAACTCTGAAATACCTGTATTTGCTGTTCAGCGACGATAGGTTCACAATTGACCTGAACAAGTACGTCATTAACTCTGAAGCCCATCCACTGCCTATACACAAAAACTAGGAGCCGGTCTATTGGTACATTTAAAGCAACATGGTCTACATGTTTGCGTGAGGACCCCTTTGCGAAAGAGCATTGGGTCGAATTATTAACGCGCGTTTTCGCGAACCCTATTTAAGGTGAGAATTCCTGTAGCCATTGCGCACTCAATGGAATGTCCCCCTTAGAAAATAGCAATAGTAGTGCAATTTCTTAAATATCTAATTGTGTCATTATAGGTGTCTGTTTACTCCCAAAGTTCAGTATGAAACTGAAGGTATTATAATTATTGTGTTATGCCATACTTATACAATACTTAATAATAAAATACATTTTACCAGTAGTTAATGTTGTGCTAAACAGTATCTATGAAACAAGTACTCATTTATTACTATAATAAAACCGTTTTCTGTATTAATGGTAAAACATATAACTTTATTATAGTCTAGCAAAAAAATGAATACATTTTTCTTCATTTGTTATTACACGCACTACCAGTTATTCAGATAGATAATTGATAGCATTTATTTCGTCGTATCAGTAAGTACATGTCCTATGCATACAGCGTGTTTAATAATATAGATTCATAATTTTCACGATAAATAGTAACAACAGTAGATTGAATCACATTCTTCCTAATAATAATTATGTTATTAAGTACTTAACTTGTAACGAATTTATAATTAATGTTTTGTTTGCAAGGAATTTCTTGTATTACTCGTCTAACTCTTTACAACCGACTTATTACATTCTCTGATTAATTTATAATTAATTTACTTTTTGGTACACTATATTTTGACGGGACCAAATTTTGTAGTGACTATGGATATTAATACAGATTATTTACTAAGTTAATATCAATCAAAGAATATTTATTTGGCTGTATCATTGAATTTTATAGTATGCAGGCTGGTGGTATAACATCTGCAATAATGGGTTAGTCACATAGCTCTACAGTGAAGAGAAAGAAATTAGATTTTATATTAAAATAAAGTCGAGAGGTAAATTGCATAGTATAAAGAGCAGTTGTTGTGACTATTGCGTATAACCTGTGGCCGGCCTGTATTAACTAAATTTAGTCATGTTTAAATTATTTTTACTATAGTCAATATTGTTATAGTTTAATTATGTTTTTGTTCTATTGTCTATAACTAAACTCGCTTTTATTTCTAGTAAAATAAAATGAATCTCAAGCTTTACGGCTTTTACGGTCCCAAGTGTTGTAATTCTTTATTTATATTAGTTTGGTTAGGGATCGTAGTTACTGAAACCTTAAGGTGTAAATTATGATTACTATAGTTTAATTTAGGATATATTTCACTCAAGTCATTATCATATTTTGAATTATTTTGTTGTGTACAATATTTATAAATTTATATCTATAATTTAGTTGTATGTGTATAGGGAATGCGAGGAAAATTAGAGTGACGGAGTTCGACGTGCGTTAGATGTATAAATTTAATCTAAGTAGGTATATTCTTAGGCAAGAGTGCTGAGACTTGTGGTTAGTATCGGATATCACCTACAGTGACTTTCTTAGCATTTGAAATTGCTTTGGCGAACTCGGCACTCGATATAGTTGTCCCAAGAACTAATGTAATGCCTTTAGGACGTGTATCATCCTTTTCTTTTTGAGCTTTTGTCATTCATCAACTACCGTATAAATAGATATATATACACCGTATAATAGTAAATCCCCTTCTATCCCATCTCAGAAAACTACACTCTTGATGTGTGCATTTTTATAACTTCGACCATGTTTATTCTTAGTTTTCATTCAAATCTTAAAAGAAAACCTCGTTTATCTGATACGCCTTACGCCAAATCTTGTTGAAAATGTAAACTAAAGTGGTTTAGTACAACAAGTTTTGACTGATGAACAAGTTGTCATCAAAACATTAAAAATAATTAATTGTGAAAAATGTTACAAATTCTGGCAATTTTGATGATATAGTGTAATGCTGATGGCTATTCACAGCATTAACTCCGTAATATGTGCCTCGAAATACCATAATATATGCATTACTAACTATGTTTTACTAACGAATTACACAATAATATACAATGTTTAAAGTTAAATAATATTCGTATAGACTCGATTTGAAATATTCCTAATCGAACGCACATTTTGTGATAGGTCATTTTTCACGTTATTTGCCAAATTATACATTAGGTAAATGCATAGCTATATACGTTGTTATTATACTTATACAGCAAGGCAGGAACGTTATTTGGCAGGCGACAGAGCACGCGTAATTTATGGAGGGTCAAGGTTCGAGACAAAATGGTAGTTTTACCAACGTTAGCATATTATAGGCTGAGCTAGTTAGATACATTATAAAACGACCTCACTATGCAATAAGTCGTGCATTATTATGCCCTTTTATAGAGGGTAAGTTAAGGCCTAAGAACTATGCAACCATCTCGATTAATTAAATGCACTAACGCACAATTAACGTAATTATAAATAATACCACTATAGTTTTAAGTACTTAAATAAACGTTGTATACTTTACCGGGGTTGAGTATAATTAGTGTAAGGTATGTTGTTCTTTATTGTTACGATTTATAATATATTAAATTATCAGTTTACGTCCTAACTTTCACTTTGTTTTAATTTTAAGTAGTAATCAATTTAATGATAACATTTCACTGTTAAATGTTTCATGTTATTTTAGTGATATGCCAGGTAATTCATTTTAATTGTAAATTGTAATGGTAACAACAATGCAAGTTATGTATTTAAAATACATATTTTGTAAAATATGTTTTTGTGAATTTGGAAGGAAACTGGATTAGTATGAATCTTTGATGAGTCCTAGATGGCACTAAAATATCTTACATACTAAAAGACTGTTTCATAAGAAGTACAGTACATTTGGACTGGTCCTAGAAAGCAAATACAATGATTATGTTGTCCTCCAAATGTAAGCGTCTGATAAATTTATTATAAATAAGTGCAGATCAGATCAAGACGATTGCAACCTTCAGCGCATTTATTTAACTTTGTAGCTGATGATATTCACAAGGTTTCATAGATTCTAGGATTACTTGCAATGAATGCCAATGCATAGTTTCATACCACACACGTTCATTGGCAAAGTCTATTTTCATTTACCGTTGTATATGATACTTAATATCTTTTGGCCAAGATTGTGGGATGGCAGCGCATTTAATGCCAAAATGTGTGTCATTCATTTAAGAAATTATTCAGTTACCAATGTAAATTAGTAATTAGTTACCAAACATCATGGATCATCCCTAAATTGTATGATAAACTAAACTTGTTTCCACATGTGATGAATGTTTAAAGGAGAATAATGATAACAATGTATGCTTGCTGCGTAAGATCATTAGTTGGTGTATTAATTAAATAATTTATTTACCCATATTTGTGGATATCATTTATATGATATTGTATTGCCTTTATAAGCATTCTTTTAATTATATTTACCAAAAGGAACACGTTACTGTAATTCATGTATTATTAAAAATAAGCAACTATAGATGTATTTGAGGCTGGGTATCCATATACATTATAATGAATTTTGCATTTATATCTACATACATAGTTCAATGTCAGTTTACTGGAATCTTAAAAGTTGTGCTAATACATATTGGTTGTAATAAATGTACAATTTATAAATACTTGTGTTTCACTTATCAAATCCCATACCCTTATGTCAGTGGTTTAAAATAATAAAACTTTGTTTCGAGATATTTTTATTGGTTGTACAAATGTGTACACTTTCTATAAATACATGTTTTATAAATCTACAGTCTATTTATTATACCAAGTATAGGCTCCTACAGAAAGTCTTAATGCCTTAGTTTTAGCAACAGTTGACAAAATATAACGTCAAAAATATAAAGATTTTCATTACTCTTGGTAAATTCATATTAAGAAAGACTTAAAATAGTGGCATTGTGGCCTAACAATTACTGGTATTGCCTGACCAGAAGAGGAAGAAATGAAGTACCACTACAGCAAATACTAAATCTAAACTACGGTACAGTACGAAACTGGATACACATAGGAATAATAAGATATACAAGATATTAAAATAGACATAAATCTTAATACCACAAGATTATAATAAATTATATCAATACTCCTTGCTATGGAGACTTATCATTGATATGGAAGGACATTGGCACAAGGCTTTTTATGAGTTATAAAAAGTTACTAACACTACAACTTAATTATAATAAAACTACAGAATTTAAAAAGCTGCACGAGCTAATACAGATTATATTTTGCAAGATTATATTTTAGAAGATAATAAATTGTTTAAAACATTTATCCAATTTAAAAAATTAAATCATTAAATTAATTGAAAATCACAACTTGGGAATTTACCTTAGAGTATTATTTAAAATGTGTATTGTTACAACAGCCTGTTTTCTAGATACACTATCGATAGTAAGTTAGTCAGAAACAATGTAGAGTGATTCAAAATGCAGTCTTTGTGCTACTATGAGTACTATGTAATAGAGACAAGGCCTTTTTCATATTACTAGTAGTATCACTCTCATTAGTACCTAAATAATATTATTACAATTATTGTATACTAATTTTAGAAAAATATATTTCTTATCACATACTTGGAACATAGTGGAATGCAATATTTTGCACAATATGAAAATAATTGATAATATGTAATGGCGTAATGGCATGTTGAGCCTATGATGGTCTCAGACATAATATAAAATGATACCTCAAATTTTATCATAATAGTATAGAGTTAAATACATTGTAAAGCCAAAAATCTTATGTTCTAAATAAAGCAATTTAGACATGAGCATTTAATACATTTTGTTGCAAAAATATTTGTATAATTCCTACTCGAAATATAAAGTTTATCAATGCTTCACTACATTGCAGGTGAGCAAAAATTCAAGTTTCTTTATGTATGGCTATGAGTAGTTCATTTATATAAGATCATGGAATATGCATAGAGATAATGTTCTACAACTATATGAGCATACTGAGACATGATATGCATAGGTGTACCTTACATGAGGACACAATCACAACACTGGATTGTGTAGTACAGGCACTTGATGCCACAGTCTTCTTCCTCGACCGTAGATGCAGTTGAACGGGCCTTGTGCGGTGGGGGTGGTCGAAGATACACACTATCTACCTTGTCTACAAACTTCTCAGTATCATTGTCGATCTTTTCTGATTTATTTGTCAGCTTTTCATCATCAAGGTAATCTTCACTCTTCTCACTCTTAGGTTCTTTAATGTTTGTATCTCCTGCGGCTTCCTGCAATTAAATTGTTTTAGTGTTGTTATGGACACAATTGCTACAATGTAATGAGCTTGGAATATTGTTGAATGTTGGGACTGTTTTAATATAGACTTGGTAAAGAACAACAGAGTGATTAATAAACAAAGCATGTATTATGTCATATCTAGACTATTTAAACTTACTTTGCTATCATCTTTCTTGTCATGTCTAATAAATTCTTGTTTTTCCTCAGGCTTCCCAGTAACAGTACTGTCTGATGGCACTTCCGTAGCAGCTAATGCTGAACCAGCAGTAGCTATGCTTGTAATTGGTGCTTTTGTCCTCTCCGGCATCAACAAATCAGTCTCCTCTTCTTTTTTCTTGTGCAGTTGGTAATCAGGTGAATCTCCAGACATACTGAAAAGAAGAATTTTTGCGATTAACTTTGGCAAACAACAAAACTCAATAAACGAGCTATAGTATTAACGCGACTGAATGACTAAGGTACACGAGAGCCGGGAGATTAAATTACAATTCGCGACAAACCGCTCACATTGTTACACAATTGTGTATAGCATCATTATTAGTAATGTAAACAACACTCGATAAATGGTGACTGCAGTTACTGTACTCGACATCCATTTACTGGGTTTACCTTACTACAGCAGTTTCTATTTGTTCCCCAGACAAACGACGCCATGTGCTAATGATAGTTTCAAAATTGTTGTTTTCTTGCATCTCGGCGTGTCATAAACATAAGCCAACAAAAAAGTTTTACTTTTGTTCACAAACAATCACAAAATATTCGACAATTAAATTGATTTTTAAAGTCTCTAAGTATCCAGTTACAAAGTAATTTTTTTATCTCGGATTTTGTTGTAAATACTAAGAATTTCGATTATTTCTTTCAGAAATAAATTGAAAAGTTTCAAAAAGTAGTATCGTATCAAGCCTTGACCTTTATGATGTCATGTCAATCCTTCACTCACACACACTTCAATATTATTGTTAGTCTGTTTACACTAGTGGCTTACTAAAAACGTGAACTAAAATATCGACTAAATCGTAGTTTTACCGACTAGTAAAATATCATATAGAAGCTAGTATTTTCTATTCGATATGTAGAAGCAGATCACAACAAACCTATTTAATTTTTTTATTGTCATGCTTTAAATGTTATCTAATGGTACAATTCAAAATTGTGCTATTAGGCAATATTTATTTGAAAATGTTACTGGACTGTGTTTATAAATCAAAAAATATTAATTTCATATTCGTATCATGAAGGAATCAACAAAGATTTTTTTTATTAAAATCAGAATCATTCACTTCCGGTATTTAAAAATCGACTAATTAAAATTTTTAAATAGACTAACTATTGTGTGGTAACCCTGAAGAACGGCGGGAAATTCAAATTAACTTTTGATTTGACATTACTTGAACTTGAAAACTAAATTTATTTCATGAACTACATAATTATTTCAATAATAAAGCACTTCGAGTTTTTATACTTTGGTGAAACCATCAGTGAAACAAAACGTAAAAGAAAATGACTGGCACAGTCAACCGAGTGGCTCCGCGGACCACGGAAATCGCATACTTACCTATGTACTTCAAAAATATGTACCTAAAAAGTAAGGTGAGAAAATGTAATATTAATTACTGAGGTTTCTTAGTAGATACTTACATTCTGTACATTGTTGGCGATCTTTCATAATTCTTTTTAGGGTATGAATCGTTGACACCACTGTAAACAACATCTTTCTTTTTGTTATGTTTTTTGGTAGGGATCCATATTATACCAAAGCCAGCTTTGCTAGAATTGCTCTTAGGTGTACTAAGTGATGATACGCCATAGTTTTTGGATGAACTGGCTCCGAAGAAAGACGATGTTTTTCCACTGGAACTTGATCCTAATCCACTTGGGAGTTTTGGTGTCGAACTGGAAGATTTTCCACTGGAAATCTTGCTACTAGAAGTCTTGCCGAATCCACTGGAACTACTTTTCCCTAGACCACCGGTTCCACTTTTACCAAAAGATCCGGCCCCGCTTTTGCTAGCAGAGCCGGACCCGAGTTTCTTACTAATGGGTGCCAGGTTGATGACCTGAAACAAAAAAACATTAATAATATAATAACTTAAATATAGACACCTTATTTATAACTTAAAATAGAGATTCCTTATTATTGTATTTATTTCAACGTAGTGTTTACACCTCCGCTACTCGCCACTAGATGTCGCAAGTACTCAGACTCCCATGGTGCTGTCACTGAATAAAGTTCTTGGATACCTACCTACTGAAATAAGCTAACTACTATGATCATTGAATTCATTGATCAGCATCAGTTTGTAGATATTATTATTATCTTATGTATTCATGTATTATTATTAGATATCATGTGACAATTATCTTGTTATAGGTGTATAAGTATATTATGCGACGTCTTAAAAAAGTTGTAACAACTGTTCCTAAAATAAGTATATTTTTTATTTAAATAAATTAAATAATTTAACTAATAATAATTATATTTTTTTTTTTGTTTTCTTTCTGTTGGAACTAGTGAGCTAAATATGTTAAGCACCTTTAAGCATAAATGTTAATTGTATCAATTTGTTAGTTTTTAGTCACATTAAATAAATTATCTCTTGTATATACCAACCTAGATATTTTTATTACAGAGGTAGGCAAATATAAAATATGAGTCATTACAAATAAGAATAGAGTCCGTTTTTAAGTGTCTTAATTATGAACATTAAGTTTGTAACAAATTATTGTCTGCAAATGGCTATGTAGGTACCCGGTTAATATGACGCCATAATTGTTGCTTTTGTGAGTTCTAAAATCACTGGACCGATGTTTTTGAAATCATACTCTATGATGTTGAAATGTATTCACTTGTACTTGCAGAAAACATTTGTAATACATAGTTACATTACACCTAAACAGATAATATCTTTGAAATGTTTGCGATTGGTCAGTTAATACGCAGTTGTTTTTGGGCAAAAGAATTTTGCATGTCATTCATCGTGTTCCAAATAGGTAGGCCCAATTTTAGTGGTAAATATTACCTATAGAATTAATGCCAATTTAATTGTTGTTTAGCAATAGCTCACTCATTGCTAGACAACAGGTAAAAACGACTTTCAAGTATCTGGTTAGTACCTGGATAGGCATTTTAACGTGACTTTAAACATCTTATTGCTGCAACTGCTGTTGATTATTGCTTAGAACTTACGTACCTACGCATTATCGCATTGCATGACTTTTAACTGGTATCTAGGTTGTAGGTAGGTAGGATATTTCATTTACCCCGTCATTTTCACAACTAATTGGTAACATGATTGGCGAAAAGTTGGTTACCTTTCATATTTGCATTGTGTACCTAATTATCAAAACAGCCAAAGAGAAGTGTTACAAACCTAGATTCATACACATCTATCTAGATATGCCTTTATTAGCATATTCACTTACCACAAACATGCGTTTGCGCATTAACTAGATAAGCGAAGGGTTTAAACAAATGTTACAACTTCTCTGGCCATGCCCTACTTGCGATCGAAAAGGTATTTTGTTGATAGCTTTGTGTATATTGTTCCATCAACTGTGAGTTGCGAAATGCAAGCGATATTAAACTGTTGATAAGGTTCATCATCAGGTAAAAAATATGGAAATTATAGGTAAATATGTGGAATCTTTATTGCTCGAATCTTCGTGAGTTAGCGCTGACGGTCCAAGTAGGGTTGAAGGAGGCTTATTACTTTACAGGTACCTTTAGGAACATCTGCATTTATGAAATTAATTTGCTTTATCGTATTTGTGCGTATTTATCGTAGTGTCTTTAAAGTAACGTAAGTAGGTACTATTTATGTGTCAAAAACTTTATTAATGTTTATTTAAAGAAATAATTGTCACAAAATTAATTTACTGTCTACGCCAAATGTGTGTACAAGTGTGAAGACATTTAGGTACGGATGCAAAATGAATTGGTGTTGAAACCTCGTCGATCCAATCAACGCAATTTAAAACAATTACGATTGATTTAACTATGATGCATAACTGCGGTACGATTCGTTAACGTACGGATGACCTGTTACTACATTACAGCCTATGCTTGGAGGCTTTGATAAACTGACTAGTTAACAGGTATTTCTTGGCGACGGACTTTTCAAAGGATTGTAGGATAGGCTTCGGAGAAAAAAAGCAAGAACTAAACCTAAGCGATTAAAACAGTTGATTCATAGCCATAGCATTCAAGTGTTCTATAATGCATATGCTAAAGCATAAAGGTGAAGGATATCCACTAAAGTTATTCAACTGACTTGTTTGTGGTATTTGCAATAGTGTCATGGTTCCGTATCGAGAAAAATATCATTTTGATAATTAAATTTACATTATATGAAATTAGTATGTACTATGAAATCCGTATACTTCTTTTAAGAATAAAAGGTACAATGGCAATGTTATACAAAAGTTCGTATGCTCCTTAACATTCGTATCATTGCGCATTGACCCGCATAAAGTTTAGTCATCATCGAGCTTGCAGAACTCAGAAATGATGACTCAAATGGCATTATGCATTCCTTATTTAGAAACCGAGCCTCAAGCCTGTTGCATCCGTTGTATTAGGCAGATGTCTACCTGTATTTTATTATTCTTCTTGAATCTTTTAAACTTGGGTACCTACATATTGTTTTTCTAAAACTATATGGGATTATTACAGAAATTTTATTGAACAGAACCGAGACAGTATATGTCCCTGTTACATGGTGGGCCTATGTCCATATGACAGGGGCATGTTATATTCTATTTACAAAAAATATCAACTAATAAATACTCAAAACTATAACTCGCTATAAATGACCTATGACGTTATTTTTACAAAAATACAGTTAAAGGCGACTTTGGAACCAGTTGTAAGTTCCTATTTTACCAGCTGTGTGCCCTATTATAATAATACTGCGTGATGCCCTGACGGTCATCTCTCAAGTGATTTATCCTTGAGTGTTTATTTTGTATCAGAGTCAATCTGTGCCACGTAATGTGCTAACATACCAATTGCTACCATAACTATTGTAACAAATATTTGTCTTTGTTTTAAGATTCCTTGAAAATTACTCTTTTCTGGACTACACCGTTCTTCTGAGTATGAGATCAATGGGTCATAACATCACATCTTTTTTTCTACGAAGAGATAAACCACTGATTATCTCTACGTCACTACGTATGCTAATGCACATTTTTCAAACCTGCTAAAAATGCAACGACGAAACAGGATTTAACTATTATTATAATTAATTAAGGCTTTGATGGCCGAGATAATTAGAAAACTGTACTTAAGGATAAATCCTTCGATTGTTGGCTCCCAAGGCTTTCAACAAGTTAATACTGTAATATTTAAAAACAATCGAAACCGCATAATATGGTAATAAAATATAACATTCACAAGTTTACTTACGAAACGTTTTATCAACTGAGATATTTATAACTACATCGTCGTACGTATCTACATATCTACCTATACACGTCAGTTTATGTAGTAATCATATGCATTTTTCATATTACATATCGTGTCTGGTTAACTAGTACCTACCTATGTAAGAAATTACCATTAAGGTAAAACCAAACATAGAGCGGAAACATAATAAAAATAGAAGCTCTTTGTAAGAAAAAATGAATGGCAAAGTAATGTAATGCATGGTTGTCGAGTGTCTTTTAATGTTGCTGAGTTCGATATCAAGTAGGTAACTATGGGCTATGATTCTAAGTACACGTATAAACTTTTATGCAAATAAAATAAGTTTATTTTTTAAGCGGGGAAAATCATCGAATGACTGCTCCCGCCTGGGTGAGGCGGGAGGGAGTGTCAGACTTTTACTGACTAAAAACCACCCCGTTCCTTCTCCTGC